GATGGCTTTACATAAAGGAATTAAAGAGTAAGTTTTGGGTCCCCTGAACACTGCAATGCAAAATAAACAAATGGTGTCAAGCAAAAATCAGGATATGAAAACAAGGAAGTTTCATATATTTAAAAAAAACACCACAATCTTTAGCACAGCTGGAATATTCATGGAGAGAGGTAATATACCAATAGAGGGATATTAAAATGATAGTCAAAGACCACATTTTGAAGAAATGCATGACAGTGGGAGGGTAAGCGTGTGTTTAAGTGAAATATATATATGCTTATCTTCTAACTTCAAAGCAAGTGCTTAAATTCTCGTGCGACCTGAGGGCCGGATCAGCTACTGCCTGGGCTTGCTCAGAGCCATTAAGTGCACTATGACACCCCTTCTGCACAAGGGTGATTTTATATTGCTTGGAGCATGCAGTAGTTTGCAGGGTTTGTTCACCAAGGGACTACAGAGGGTAGCCAAGAGGCACGAATTCAGTTATTCCCACTCACTTTTCTCTCCCTCTCTTTTTTTTTTTTTTTTTTTAATCAGTCCTACGCAGGCAAGAGAACAGAAATAAGTCAATTAAAAAAAAAAAAAAAAAAAAACCCCTGGGCTTTCCCCCAAAAGAGGGGGAGCTGCCAATTTTGAAGAGTGTCCTGATTTAAATTTCATCAATGAAATTAGGAGTTCAAAGTGGTGTGGTTTACCTGGCAAAATACGTCAAACCTGGGAGAAATTTCAGAGAAAAGCAGCACGTTCTCCATCTGACTGTGTGTTTGGCTGCCTGCCAAACAAGTCAGGTCTGACTTTCCCAGTTTACGTTTTTATCACTTACAAAACTTCCTGCTTTGCGCTCTTACAGAGATGCTTCAACTTGACTGCAACAGCTCTGGCAGCAAAGAAGTTGAGAGATGGAAAGAAAGGAAGAGGTGGTGGCCAGGTGAGTGAAGAGGGAAAGCTAGCCACATAGCAACACGCTAATCATCTTTTTGGGTGTCTAAAAGGCATTTTAGGGTTCCTTAAAACTTTTCACAAAAGCCAAACTGATAATGAAAAGAAAGGGTTAGAAGGTTCTGTGTATGGACATACATAACGCTGCTTTCTACGATGGTCCACATCTCTTGGCCAAAGCATGCTGCAAAAACTGGAGCATGTTTTGGGCATGCTTTTTATACGTCCAGCCAACCAAGTGACACTTTTCAAGCTATGAAACCTTTTTAAAGAAAACAGCTGTAACCTACATCCTGATGATGCTTTACAAAAAGCTTTTAAGCAAAGGTATATGGCCCTTAACTCTAAGTGCATCTGTTAAACGGGCACCGATATTACAAAGGTGACAAGATGGGATATTTCGACGACTCCTTAAGTTCACACTAAAGCACTGGAGTATCCAGTTCATATCTTACAATTGTAACGTCACAGAACTTCAATATGCAACTGAGTATGGTGTCTTAAAATAGCAGAGGTGGCTCCAGAACACAGTTTGTTTTTAAAAAAATAACAACAAAATAAATAAAATAAATAAAAGCCTCCGATTGCTAAGCAGAACTTGACTGAAATTATTTAGGAGCTCTGCTCTAGTGCCAATGGCACTATATTACAAAGCTGCGTGTATGATCTCTATTCAAACATGCTGACAGTCATCATTCAGTACTAGACAGCACTTCTATCAGGTTGCTTTGGGATTTACCATGTCTCAGCGAGGACGTGCACTGGACAGACTCTGTCACTGTCGTACACCGTATGAGAGTTCTATGCTCGGCTATACTAATTTCACAAAAAGCAGCCTTACTCCCTTAGGGTAAGGCTGTGATTACTGATATTTTGCCATGGCTAAGTAAAATCCCTGAGAATACGCAACTGTTAGACATAGAAGGAAACAGCCGAAAGTATTTCTAAAGGAAAGGGACTAGTAAAACTTTAGACTAGCGTAGTTTGAGAAACCAAAAGCAGTTCATGTAAAGTACACAAAGCAAGGGTGCTGTTATCTGAGAGTCACGTGGACCTCTAGGAGTATGCAGGTCAGTTGCTCATAAATGTCAGCCATTAAAAAAAACCAACAAAACAACCCCAACCGATCAACGAACCAAACAAATGAAACAGAAAACACAAACTTTCTCTCCTATTCTAAATTTGAAGGCCAAAAGTGAGTTGCTTGCTCTCTACAATTATTAAAATCAAAAGCAATCCTCTCCGCTTGCCAAACCGACATCAGAAGAAAAGAAAGAAATGGACTGTCTAGCATTGTATTTGCTTCTGCTTGGTAACGTGGTCTATTGCAATTTTAGAGGTATAACTTGGAGTTTGACTCTGCAACATGCTGCATGGGTTTCTTTCTCAGTGGTGGTTTGACTGGAAAGGTAGCATTTGTAAGTCTCAGAAGTGATCAACGCCCTGCAAAAGCAGTGTACGGTGAAGTGCAAGTTTGGAAGGCAAGAAGACCTTGCTCAATTCCTTCTCTGCAAGTCTCCTGTCGAACAAGCAGCACACAGGGGTCTCCTGAAGCCACCGTCTCCTAAGAACATTCTCAGAAAGACCAACTTTACAGAGAAGAGCAAGACAAGAAAGCCTGCTCTGAGGCATGACGTGCTGATTAGAGGATATGCAACATGGACCACTCTCCATTTGTTAGAAGAAAGAAGAGTGGTACAAATTAGTAATTCCTGAAGCTAATGGCCCAATGAAGCTGTTAAGTTCTCTGCTTACAAAATAAAGCCTCCTTGCTTTCTGCATCAAATTTTGGGTCTGATGCACTACTAACAAACCAGTGGTTCTCTTGCTAGTTAAAAATCAAACCAAAACCAAACCCAACAAACAGAAAACGCCAAACATACCTCCAAGAATAAGTGTTGAATATGCTTTCCTGCTACTGGAAAAGCTGAGAGCAAAAAGGGAAGCCAATTTTCATCACGAACTCACAATTAATTTCTTGAGAAGAGGGATCTCTTCCTGCTCTCCCCCTATTCTCCATGATATTTTGTGGAAATGTGGTCTCCATTACCTTCCTAGAGCATTCAGCTATGAACTATTACAGCAAAGTTTCCCACATAATAGTCAAAAACCCTCAGAAAATCACATAGGGTGGAGAGTTGGTTGTTCTGCTGCAGGGGTGGTTTCTTTGCACTCATGCTCAGAAGAAGCAGACAGCCGAATCTCAAAGGCTTTCTGCTTCAATTTTAGCACTGCAAGTAGTGAAATAATTGAATGGAGGTTTGGTCAAAAGTTTTGAATTTGTGCTCAAACATAAATATATATTACTTAAATTACAGAAAAAAAAAAAAAAAAAAAAAAAAAGAAAACCCCCACATCCTTCTGATTTCTCTTGGTCTTTGCAGAAATTATAGACAGGTAAAATCAGAGAAGATGACAAGAACAAGAAAGTCACACTCTTCAAATGCCTAATTACAGTTCTGCTATCTTGCTTTATACACCAAGTCTGATGTTTGGTCTTTTCTTCAAGTATCATATGCTTTTCTTAAAGCTCACAACACTAGGCTCTTTAGAAAGAATCAAGTATTTGGTGTGCGGAGAGGCTCCCGTCACAGAGTGATGCAGGGCAGCAGGCCTGCAGTACATTCATTTTACTGACAACGTGGTTTTTAGCCTAGCAAAAGCCAGTACTTGTCCTGCGACACTAAAACTTCTCCTGTATTTACAACATTTACTAATTCTAAGTACCTCATTAGCACAGCCTTCCCTCCTCCTGCCCAGGAGTTAAACTCAACTCTGCACAAAGCCATCCGAAGCCCTAGGTTACCCACCCACTGAGAGACCCACTTATGCCTTGAATGGGCAGTCAGTAATTCACAGACAGCCTTCTAGCCACCAACACAACAGAGAATTTTGTCCTTAACTAGCTGAAAGGACTTCTTTATTATTTTTAATAGCTGCAGTGTTAAGGAACACACTTATATCTGTATCAGCAAAATGGAAAAAAGGGCAAATCTTACTTTCTTAACTTCCAGTCACTTCTACATAATTCCAGATTTTAAGGTTTGTAATTAGCCCAATGTGTAATTGCTCCATGGCAAATTCTAGCTTCCCCTATGCTTTACTCTTTCTATGTCCACTTTCATGAAGTCTCTGCCCATAACAGCAGCCTAGGAAGGCTTTTAATGAAATCTGCTTTTTAAACTGCCAGCTGTATTCAATTTAAAAGCAAATATTACATTTTTGTGCGAATTTGATTTAAGAAAAACTTAAACCAAAACCTTAATAAATCAGGACGATGGACATGATCTTCAATTGCTTTTGTAAAGCACTGTTGAAATTAGCTAGGCTCTGCCAGCCTGTGCCAGCAAATTTCTTGTGGAGATGGCCCACTGGCAGGGGCTGACAGGGAGAACACGGCACATACTGGGAGACAGTCAGGGAACACAACCCCCAGTTTCAAAGGCTGGTTCCTGGGGAAGCTCAGACCGCCAACCACTTGTGCTTGTGGTGAAGATCTCTAATATCTGGGGAGGTGCTGCACCAAAAAGCTTCAACCCAAATTCAGAGACAAATTCACCGTGTACCTTATAAGGTGGCATTTAGGTGCCCTTCTCTTCTGCTACCAGGGCAACAGCAACTCTCACTACCTCTGTCCTCCTACACCATCGCAGGGAGTGGGCACAGGGCATGGAAGAGCCAGAGCCAGCAGCACCTGCCTGGGCTCCACCTTGAGATCCCAACCACTCCGCTGCACACACGGCTCTCTCCTAAGTACGGGAGCAAAGGCCAAATTCTGCCCTGTTACTTTTATGAGGTGAAGAGAAGAGGAAGTGCACAGGCAGGAGAGAAACAGTCAAAAACATTCACCACGGACATAGTTATGACCTCTGCATTTAAACACAAAACATGCATAACAAAAAAACAGAAATCATACATACCCTTCCCCAAAAACACTCACAACACCCTTCCCACCCGAAAAGATACAATGAATAGAAACGATGTCCCAAAAAAACCAAGATGAAATAAATCTTTGTTAACAGACACAGTCCCTGAAGTTTTAAGACGCAGTCTTGCTGTAGTCATACCACCTCATCTGACTCCAAACCATGTACTTCATAGAGAGTGTCCAAGATATTTAGCTGCTTTTCCATGGCTGGTAAGTAAATGTTGAGGTCCCTCTGCATTCCTTTGTAAAATGTTTCTTCCTGAGGATCACACTCCTCTACAGACAGAGCTGCCACAAAGTCTTCGTACGTTGGAGCTGCCCTTAAAGCTAACTGTGAGAGGAACCAAAGCTTTTAGATTTGCAAAACAGAACAGGAAAAGAAACCAAACTAAAGTCACAAAAAACTTCTAAGACTTTCCCCTTTGCACTTAATCACATAGCTTTAATGTATTTATGTGTATGTGCATATATTAAGATTTTTTAACTGGGAGGAAGGCTAACTTTTTACTTATTTTTTGTTATCTCTATGTAGATCCCCAGTTTAAGACATCTTCAGAGAGGTCTGATTTTTAGGAAGTGTTTGTATATCATATTTTGTACAAATGAATAGCATATATTAGAAATTTATTAAATACAAACCTCAAAGTAGTTTGTTAGGTGAGCTCCCAACCCAGTGTGACACACAAACAAGAAGTCCCGTTCTCAAAACACTCTTTAAAAAGCTCTACCCAACATTTCTGTTTCTCCCAGTCAAAGTCTGTCATGATTGCCTGGATGACCCTTTCCTTTATCCTTTTGCAATTTCAGTGATAATTTCCAGTGATAGACACGAGGGGGAGCTGCCAGACTGGACAAAAAAAATAAACCATTTCCTCTAGCCCATCTATTCTACTTCAACTCTCTGACACATTCTGCACTATCCCTTCTTGAATGCTCACATCCGAAGACAGATCAATCCTCAAAAAAGCAACCTCAAACCCTCATTTCTTCATTTAATAGCCCTGCAAGACTGTGCTGAAAAACACAAAGTGAAAAAAAACATGCACACAAGCATGATCTGTTTTGCCTCCAGAAAGCAGGTTCCGCCCTGAAAGCCCAATACTAAACATAGTGATAAACACAATCCTCACCTTGCAGATAAGGTCTGACAAAGGAATCTATTCTTTTTAATGCTTAGAATTTCAACATAGTTTATTAATTACACACAACATAAGATCACATGAACAACCAAGACACATACTTACCGCAAAGACCCCGCGGACAACCCAACCATGGTGCTGCCGTAATGTCTTCCCATACGCGTTGTCTTAAAGGGAAAAAAAAAAAAAAATCAAGAGAAATGTATGACAGCTTTAAGTTGGAACACAAAGAGAACTGAGAGCTTAGAAATTACTATTTAAGGATATATTCTTGCCACTGGATGCAAATAATGGCTGTTTCTGAGCACCAAAGTTATGACTGAAAGAAGATGACAGATTTGGGATTTCTGCACTGGGGTCTCAGCTCTGCTGTCAAATCTCCTTCAACTCCTCCATGGCAAGTAAGTGTTCTAACAGACAGGAGGGCAAAGGTAATTTTTATTTGACTAGCTATGCTTCACAACCAACACCACTTCTGTTCTCAGTTCAGTGCAAGTCTGGGAAAACAATATACAGGGTGAAACAATCCTGCAAGCTGATGGTTAGCCAGCCTCAATCAAGGTGGATAGCTCAGGCATTAACCAAGATCTCTCTCTTTACACCTGAGGGTCAGGTTTAGAGGATCACTGGAACAGAAGGCACTGGGTCTTTATTAAAATAATCCTCAGGATCTCACTTGTGAGTGGCCCTGAGTGTAGCCTTTGATGAAGGCCCTTGTTATGCTCCGACAGCTCCACTTTCATATACCAAGTTTTCTATACACAAAGCCAAACATCTTTGAGCCATATTTTCCCAGTCTTAGTTTGTCACTGTCAACATCTCACTTCCTTGTCCTTCAGTCGACTTTTTAAGTATCTGACATTGTATTATACTTTCCCTGAGCCGTTCACCTTGAAGAAAAACAATGTCTACATTTTGCTGCTTTAGGATATTTGCTCAAAAGACTACAGACAGTTATTATTGAAAGAGTGGAAAAGTCAGAAAAACACAGTCACAAGTTTTGCTGTAATAAGAAGTAATCCTCATCTATCAGCCTAATGACTGGGGGATGCAGCTTTTCTATCTTTACAGTAGGAGTGAGAATCTATGAGAAAAGCATACAGTAGTAAGAGCAATGAAATAGGGAGGAAAAGAGTATTGAGAAGCAAATAGGACTGACAAGTCTATTCTCTGCCTTATCAGCAAATACAGGCGACTTTAAAAATACCAGAAGTTGAAGTTTGCTTAGATTTAAATCCCAAGTAAAGACAAATCCCTTTAGAAAGCTGTTTGTTCCTCAGAAGATTGTAAGAACTGGTGGATATTCCATTTTTTATTTTCATTTCATTAGCTTGATATTTGAGGTTGTAGAAAGAGAACATATAACTCATCTTTACTTGAGATTCAAATAGTAGAGTAACTCCTAAACAAGAAACTCTTAACAGTAAGCCAAAGCTGCACTGGTGATACAGATATGCAAGAGTTTTTCAGGAGGAGAAAGAGAAGGAAGAAGTGAGGAAAAAAAACAGCAGCATGGCTCTGCTGTGGGAACAGAGCAATTCAAGTAGTAAACAGTGCTGAAGCCTTCAGACTCAGAAGGTCAAGTAAGTGCCTTGGCTTTCCGTGGTGTTTAACATCTACATCTGGTAGCAGTGTATTTACAGTCCCACTTCCAAGAGCTGCTTACATACTTCAATGTAGTGGTTCTTTTACTAATCCTATAGGGCGACTGCTTAGCTGTTTAAATGAAGCTAAAAACAAAAAAGCTTTAAAAAAAGCTGTTTTATAAGATTATCATAACATTTGACTGTATGCATATAGGAAGGGTCTTATTCAGGTATAACCAAGTCAAGTGTCTAAGACAGGTTTGTATTTTGCTTTATACTTGCTGTGGGCACTAGCCTGACTCGATAACTATCAGAAATAGTGTACTTGGAAAAAATTCCTTCTCTTCTGTTACAAACTCCCTTCTAACTGACACAAGCAATTCACAGCCATACTGGTAAAGAGGTGATTTCAAAGAGTGATGGCCAATCTCACAAGGAGGTAAAAAAATAACACAACAGCAACTATAAATTCAAAAGCGCTCTCACTGCAAACCAGAAGAGAAAACGGAATGAGACAAAGTACTTTTTTCCCTAAGATATGACTCTCTCCCCTGCCAAAAGTATGCCAGTTAAAGGAATCTTTATCTGCTATTAAATCAACATTGACCAGTTATCTAGTAATCTGCTTGCAGACAGCCATTTTCAAAAAGTGATTTTCAAAAAAGTTATGTCTTGGAAATTACTTGCACCAATAGTCACTGAAGAAAAGAAAACACGGTTCTAAATGCTGAGGAAAATAGCCAAGTATGTAAATGCAGAAGCACACAAAGAATAAAGCAACTGGTACTCACTCAGAGCTGTTTGGATATTCTTTTCCCCATTCTTCACTTCTGTCAAAAACCCTTTCAAGAACTTCAAGCCTCTGTCAGGATGAACCCAAGAAATAAAAAGAAATTATGTTTACAACAAAGTAACCCAAAGCATAACAAAGCCCCCAAAATTGAAATACAACTCAAAAGTGCAACAAAACTCAGAATTAAGGCACCATTTTCAATCTGAATAAAAAAGAAAAAAAGCAGCCACCTCCTCCAGCCTGTCTCCTCGCCTAAGGAAAAACAGTTTTCTAAAACATTTTTGCTGCAGCCTGAAATCACCTTGCTGATGTTCTGGCCCAGCAGGATCAGTCACTCACTGTAACTTCATTTTTATAGGAAAAAAGGTTGCCTGTGATCATTTTTTCAGGCGGCAGTGATACAACCACAGACAACGTATTAATCTTGAACTGTGCTTGTTTGGATTGACAGAGCCTGTGGAAAGTAACCAGCTTGCTTGATGTACAGAAGTATGCACTGGTGAATGGCCCCTCATTCGTCTCTTCTCACAAGTAACAAGTGATAGGAAAAGAAGAAGGAGGTTTAGATTGCATATTAGGAAAAATTTCTTCACTGAAAGGGTTGTCAAGCATTGGAACAGGCTGCACAGAGAAGTGGTTGAGTGACCATCCCTGGAGGTATTTAAAAAACATGTAGATGTGGCACTTGGGGACATGATTTAGTGGTGGACTTGGCAGTGTTAACGGTTGGACTTGATGATCTTTAGGGTCTCTTCCAAATGAAATGATTCTATGATTCTGTGACTCATTCCACCTTAGCAGTTCATAGAGTAAGCTGATACAAGGCCACTACCTTTTCAGCCACAGAAGAGCCTCCGTAGCAGAGTTTCTAACTTGTGCGACACCGGCATTCACTTCATGGAGCACAATCTTCTGAAGGGTATCAAACTCTTCTTTGTTGGTTATAAATTTCTGGTTTATTTTCTGGAGAAAAAACAAGAGGCAAAGCTTTAGGCTTTGAAGATCCAAGAATAGGCTGTCCTATAAATACCACGTATTTACCAGGACTCTGTAAAGGGATACCACAGATCCCCAACCAGATCACACACTCCCCATGGCATGGCTGCCCTGCCACGCTGGGCACCACCCAAGACACATCTAGCTAGCCATCTGGCTAATGCAACCAAACAAAAGGCATCTCAGGCAAAGACTTACATGGAACGTACCATTTCTGTCTATCAAAGTGTTTCAGGTTCACATGACATCCTTCACACTGGTGGAAACGAGTTAACTCAACCTGCTCTCCAAGCAAAGTCTCATTTGCCCTGAGCTTCAAGTACAAGCAAGGTTACCTTCTGACAACTGCTAAGCTGCAAATTTTCAATTATACTTCGCAGTCATCAGCATGCTTAAGCTTTTTAATGTATTCCCCACTCTGTTATACACAACTCCTCACAAAAACAAGAGAGAGAAAATATATAAGGGGCAGATAAACAGATGATTCTTCTACATTAAAGGAGTAGCTGCCTGTCACTTGACAATAGATATTCAAAGTTTTATTTTTTTAAATAGCATTCTTCTTCCTTGCTATTTTCAGTCTTTCAGTGGCTACCTTCAGTAAGATAAGCTAATACCTGTCTCACTTTGCACCAAACAAATCTGAATGTACGCCACGTTCCTTATCATACACTCAGAAGATATGTTGGCGTTGCTTTTTTTATTTTTCTTGAAAAAAAAAAGCTATGAAGAGTCTCACTATGAATACATCTTGACTCACAAGCAACACTTCAAACATTTTCAGACTTGGAGCTGGAAGAGCTTCCAGAACAAGAACTGAGGCTGCAGGGTCTGCCCCAACCTGCTGAGAAGCTGCTTCTCAACATACTCACTTCCTCCTACTTGGTTGAAGAAAGAGCGTCTTTTGCCTCCTCCATTTGTTTTACAGTCTAAAGTCAATATTGCTACCATCACATCATGACTCACAATCTATTCAGCTCAGAATCAAGATCATATTCATTAGTTTTAACAGATGTTTTACTTGGCAGTCAATCAAGGATTTTAGAAGTTTGCGCATAACAACTGGATCTAAACACAGCAGGTAGCGTAAGGACAGAATTAGGGGCATTTCAGTATTTTGATCTGACAGACGGTAACGTTATTAAATATTAAACAGCCTTCCAGTATTGACTCCTACAACGAAGATTCTTAAGCTTTAGTGCCTGAAATAGATATTTTGTCAAAAAAAAAAAAAATCAGTGCTAAAAATAAGCTGTTACCTTAATGTTACCTACAAAATCCATTTTAACAGGAGCAAAAACAGTTGGTCCCAGCTTGTCTAGAAAAAAAAAAAAAAGGCCATATTTTAAAATTCTGCCTTTTTCCAGTCCTCATGTCTTAATAACAATTCATTTAATTTACTCTCTCAACAATCTTTCTAAATGCAGGAGAATACTAAATGAATGACGTAAACGAAAGTCTGTCTTTGGTGTAGAACCAAACAACCCCAGTTGGTGTAAGTGTCAAAAAACACCGACCTACAATTTGGAAGTCTTCCAAAGGGTACATGCTCACAGGGTCCTCACAGCCACTGTTAGATGCAAGGGCCAAGCAGGGGCGGGGCTGCACTAGCTGAGATAGGAGTCTGGAAAAATCAAATAGCTGGCACAGCTGATGCTGCGCTGTCAGCTGTACTGGACATGTAAGGCATCCATGCTGCTCTTCCAAGGGGAAGAAACTGCTGTTCCAGATAGACCCACAGATTTCCAGACAGCTTTACGTGGGTCCCATCTAAATGACAGTGGATCCTCTATAAAGCGAAGGAGTAACAAACACCTTCCGGTACCAGTCAAATAGATTCTGCTGATAGGAACTGTTTCTACTGTATCACTTTAGTGAAGAAACTGATTCTCTGAACCCAGTGCTCCACCTTTTCTCACAGCTGGCAGCAGTCAAAAGGAGTCAGAAAAAAAGAAGGAGCTTCTTACCCAGAACAGGTACGATTGCGTAACATGACTCCAAAAACTCTTCTGTTGGTATGCCCTCCTCCTCCCGAAGTTCTATATCACTGAACCTGGTGTCCAGGACAAGCAGGAAAGATTGTTACGTTAACAACTCCTTTTGTGCAACTTCTAAAGGAAAAATTACGTTTCATGCCCACTTCAATTGCATAGAGGTAAAATTCATAGACACAGAACCACCAACATGGCTTTTGTTCCACTAGGTTAAAGTAAATGACTGCAGGAAATACACATTTGGTGGTGTGCAAGCAAGGCCTGCAATTACAAACAAGGAAAAAACCTCCCACTCCACTCTGTACAGCTAATTCTACAAAGGATATCTTCAATTACTGTGCTGCATGCAGTCTTGTTAAATAACCTCAGCAAACACAACTTTACAGACAGAAGAGTCTTAAAAATGAGTCAACTAAAGGCTTATCAAAGTTTCAATAATCCTTTTAATTTAAATCTGTACTACCTATTGCTCATGACACTGAAGAAGGTAGGAGAATCATTTTCATTTCTGTCTTCCTCACACAGAGTCAATCCACTTAAAGAATTTGTTTCCGACTGCAACAACTTGTGGGCACCACAGCTTTCTACAGCTTGCAGCTTGTTCTCTCCATCTTCTTTAATGCCTTGCATTTATAGGAAACAGAAGAAAAACAAAAATAAAAAAAGAAAACAGCCACATGCCCATATTGTTATTCCTGCTCATCAAGATGCTTTCTGTTTGAAGGAAGGCACTTGGATATCTGGATGCTGCAAGTTTAAGAGCTTTCCCTGCCAGCACCATGACTCTCACCACAGGTCTGTCGGGTGCTCAGACCACATGTCAACCAGTCCCCTCCTCATTTCTTTCCATCAGACAGACCAAGCACCAGGCTCCAATGCAGGTGAGCCCACACAGTCTCAGCGAGGACAGCCTTATGAGAGAAGAGCATTGAAGAAGCAATTGGGTGCAGCAGACTCATCTCCTTGAAAGAAAGATTACTTCACACATAGCTGTAACTTCCCCCGTACCAATAATGCAGCACAGTGCATTTTCAAAAGCAAAAGAATAACAGTGACTTGTTTGCTCCTTCTGATAAGTAAGTAAACTGGCTGCTTAGATAGATACTGCTATGATATCAAAGGCTGCTATGTTCTCCTTGATTTGTACAAATATCTTTAAAGCTTCCCAGAAGAAGATCCAGGTGCCTCTTCCCCACTGTGGTCTGTTTTATTTCTTCTTTGGGGTCAAGTGCATCTCCTTCAAATAAACAGAGCACTGCACAAGCATCTCCAAAGGAAGACAAACATATACATCCCATGTGTGGGAAGACCTTCTGACCTCATGGAGAACTGCAGAGAACAAGTCAAGAAGCAAAAATGACATATTCACAGCATCTGCACCGTATAAGCCATGGCTACAGCATATCTTGCTGCCAGACTGTCAAACTAGTATCCAAGATTTCCAAGAGAACCTGCCTCTTTAGGAAAGAAACACTTCCAAGTGCCAGTGAGGATTACAGACCTAAAGTGGAACTGAGCTTCTGGCTGAAGGGATCAAGCTGCAAGGAATGTTGTTCCTCCAAGTGAAGTCTGAAAGCAAGCTTGCAGCAGTCCTTATTACTTGCAGAACCACTGAATAAGCCTGATGCTGGGTGAAAAAAACAACTGCTCGCACCCAATAATAGCAATGTGACTTCAGTCATTCTCCTCAAGGAAATGACAAGCAAAATGACTCTGCTAAGGAATCAGAGTTTGACAGATGTCACTAATCTGTCTTTCACCAAGATATACGGGCTGGTGAGCAGAGAAACAGCCCAAGTCTACGGTAACTCCACAGCAGTGCTATGCACTGCACGTCCTACTCTACCTCATACTGCCAGCAAAACTCCGCAACTCAAGTGTGTGTACCCAAGAAGGAGTATGCTTTTCTCTTTTTTGCACAGGAACAACCTCAGTAGCTAAATGACACCAACAACCTTGAATTAGTTTGATCTCCTTGCTTTAGCTCTGTATTCTTGACATATTGCACCAAATGGTGACACGCACGTTATTCTGCAGGGGCTTACCACACTACACAACACCAGCCACAGAAATGGAAAAAACTCCAAAGAGAACCCATGTAAAAGAAAAACCACCACATTCATTAACTCGGGCTTAAAACTTTAGCTGATTCACTGACTGCAGACATATGTTTTGGAATGATGGCCAGAAAGAGAAAGCTACTGTTTAAGAACAATACAGTCCATTCAACAGGACGAGCAGAAATCGTGTTACTTGTACAGACTTATGAAAATTAAGTTCAGCAGCCCGTAACAATATAGCTATGTTGGAAGAAATTTTATACTGAATTAGTTCAACAGTGTTTTACTGAAGTCATGCATAACTCCAAGTCTCATGCTACTGCTAAGGTAATGGAAGAAATTAGGTGCTTTCTAGTATACTCTTAGTTGCAGAAAAAGGGTTAATTTTCTATAAAGATTTGTCAAAGCAATCAAGAGAGACTACAAAGTCAACCCCTCCCAGACAGGTACACAAAGCTTCAGTGTCCCCCTTCTGACACCTACATACTAGCAGAGGTGCTGGCATTCCCAGCGGAGAGCCTCTGGGAATAATGTCTCTGTCCACAGTGCAAGAAGAGCCCAAGCTCCGCCAGGCTGTATTGTTACACACATCAATCATCATCTAGAGGAGTCTCCACTTGCCTAAAAAAGAATTTTTAATTTCCTTCCCCATTCAGTCCCAAGTTAGCTATCAAGAAGGGCAGGAGCTAGGCTGGGAAGGCTTGATCACAGGCAGAGATCAGAATAAAATACACTGATGTTCCCTCTCCTGGGAAGCAAGGTATTGGCACTCTCACAGGCAGCCTACACCTCCCTCCATTTATGCTTAAAAAGAAACAATTCTGGATAAAAGACAGTGCATATATTTACCTGCCAAATCCTCTGCTATGTGATCTTCAACAGAAACATCACTGCTCCCCTCATTTGTTTCCAGGTTTAAACACTCCAGACTTTTAATAAGGGTTTGCTCTTGATGGTTAATTTCTGCTTTTACAGAGCCATTTTCACAGGGGTTCAATTCCATCTGCCTGAAGAAAGGGAAAGAATAATGGTTAGTGTACAAAACATTGCTTGGTAAGCTTCTTCCTGCAAAAACACACAAATAACAATAACAGAAAAATAGCTGACAGAAATTATAGCCTGTCATAGGCTGCTCTGAGCAAAAGAACTTGTCTAAAATAACAAAAGGAACCAGGCAGGTCTTTGCAGCAAGTAGGATTAACGACTCAACCTCAGTTTACAGAGTTTGAATATATTTACAATGACCTTTATTAAAGCAAGACATAATAAAAAAAAAAAATTACTACAAAAAAGAAAATCACAGACAGGTATCGTAGCTAAAAGAATATGCCCTCATTAGTACTTTAAAATATATACCCTTGCCATGTACTCCACAAATCATAGCCTGTTCCCCATGAGTGATTTTATGAGCTTATGGAGTGGAACCTAAGATGCAGGAAAGATCACTGAAGTGGGAGAGAGTTGGCTGGTGACTGATCAGTAAGTCACCAAGTGGATGGCTGAGAAAAATAAAAGGGAAAAGGCTGACAAAGAAGAGACATGAAGTGGGGTGAGCAAACTACTTTTTGTTGTGTTTGCTTCCAAGTACGCAGCTCAAAGCAATACAATTCTGCCACCATTCAGTACTAGTAATATTAGAGTAAAAATATGGAAAGAACAGACACCATCAAAAACAGATTAGAAAGAGATTGACAGTAAAGACTTATTATACCTTTCCGTTGGGGTGCGACTGGACAAAACAGAGTGCTTTACCTGTAAGATAAGTGGGAAGGGAGAATATTTTTTAAAGCAAGAAGGCTGTATCATGCTTCTCAAACTTCACATTTTATTAAATATAAGTTGGAGTCAGCAAAAAAGCTGAAAAAACAAGCATATGCTCACTAATTCTCTGACCTGGAGGGAGTATACAGACAAACACGAAAAAGGTGCTACATTATTACACCATTAAAATATTGAAAAGAAAAAAGAAAACCAGGAGAGTTCTTTTGGAAGCTAGCTAGCAAGCGCCAAGTGAGGCACCACGCAGCATGTTGAAAAGAAACAAGGCAGTGATTTTTTTTTGCAATGATGTTTTTCCTACTTAAACAAGCGCCAAGTGAGGCACCACGCAGCATGTCGAAAAGAAACAAGGCAGTGATTTTTTTTTTGCAATGATGTTTTTCCTACTTAAGAAAAAAATTATGAAAAAACAGAAGAAATCTGAGGCCAGATACCAGGTACGGTGAAGTAATATCAATTCTCAGATGCAGTGATGCATCTACCTTCCTACACACACCTTAATCTGCTGTTTGCCAGAGATGCTTCAGTTTTGCATATGTAGCTGTGGATCCAGGATTCAAGAAAGTGCCCTTGTTAAAAAGATAAGCTCATCAGCTCCTGTTGGCGTATTACCACAGATCCAATGCTGCAGTAGCTTAGAAGAGTAATAATTGCTGTGAGCTCCCACAATGGACCGACTTGTCATACAGTCAGGTGTGTTTTGAACCACCACTGTCTGCAGCTGGATCAGGCCCTGAAAGTTAGTGCTTAATAACTTTCACCTATCATTAAAAGTTAAGAGATTAGTTACTGCCTATTAAAAAATGGCCCTACCTCACTTGCAAACCACAAGAAATAGCAGAGTATGTCCAGTAGAGGACTACTAGCTGCACTATGGGTAAAAATGCATGCCCTACTTCTACAAATGCTACTTTACAAAAGCACACCTTACCATCCGTGCCAAGACTGAGAGAAAAGGACACTGGCCATTACCTTGTTTGTTCTGAGAACTGCTAAATGTGGGGATCCAGGCGGGGTCTGATGCAATAACTCAGAAGTGAAGGCAGTATTTGCAATCTGCATACATTCTTCAAGAGTCTTCAGGAAGGTGTCACAGGTTGATTTTAACAGAGCTCCCATATCAATCCCACTCTGTGGGAAGAAACCGATTGGAAAACATAGACTCACCACAGAAGATCAACTTGGAGCAACTAATGTCTACAAAGTCCACAACTGCTTCTGTCACGATTTCTGTTTAACATGAATTAAAACGCAATGTGTCAGCTGCTCAGAGAACTGGCATCACATATTACTGGGGCTATTCCCCCTCACAGCTTTACCACTCTTGCCAGTCTCTCACTACAACATGTGCAGTATGCTTGTGTTTTAAAACCAATGCCTCTTAGTTACTTATCTCTGGTGTCAAAAGTGTTTTAAATACTAAGCCTTGATATATTCAACAATAGCATTCCAGAAGACACCACTGACAGGAGAAAAGAAAAGTAAACAAACTAAATAGATACAGATTGATCTGTAGATAATAATTTTAAAAAATTCCGTCGGAATAAAAAAACCTTCAATTGAAAAACAGGCAGAATGAAGTATCACATTGGCACAATACTCTTCATCTCTGCAAAGTGCAGTTGTTGATACCGAAATGCTTTTAGCAATAAATCTTTCCAGTTAAATAGTGGTAAGATCAGGCAAAGCAAGTTTCCCTGCAGAAGCATGAACTATGAGCTGGATAAACATCACATTATTTGTTTATTATCAAAACCTGTGAGCTCCAAGTTCTAATGGTGTTTCTTTGTTATTTACACACTACATCATGCTTCTGCACTGTCTGTTAACCCACCATAAACAGTTTATCAGGTATCTTTATGGAGATGGTTTGGACATACAAATGATTAACCTGTCTGTCCTGCACTTGAGGACGCATCTCTCCAGGAGGAGGCATCCTGGAACTCCAGACCAGCTTCTCTAGCAAGTGATGTGCATCCTTCTTAACACATTTTTCTCTCAAAGCAAGGGGCAGATCACTGTCATTAGGAGACCACTCTTAAATGAGGTTTCTTTGGTCAGGAAGATTTGCAAAGTTTGAAACTTTAACTTAAGTGAGACTAATCATGCAGCTTTTTCTAGCCATTTTGCTTTTTTGTGGTCTGCATTGTCTCTTGACCTTTTAAGGGTTTTGGTTGAGAACAGGTGTTTTACTGAGCAGAATATTAATGACTCAAGGGCAGACAAATGTGTGCTTCTTGCAAGTTATCTTTTTATACGAAATGTTTTGCTTTTTTGATCCACTATATAGACATGATCACCTACAGAGAAGTTATTATCTAGATCACAGATATCATATCTCATCTCACTACTTGCTACCTCAACACAGAGCAAGTTATTCACAACAATACAGTATTACTCCATTTAAACAAGAACTGTTCCTATGGGTACATTATTTCCCACAGGAAAGAGGGTGCAATATTAAGTAGCTGTGAGCGAATACTACACTGGCTAACCAGAAGAGTCCACAATGCTCAAGACTTTACAGATGTGGTCTACACAAAAAACAGAGCTGTACCTCTGGTTCTGATACACAAGAAATGCTGGCTTCCTTTGTTTTATGCACTTGCTGAACAAGGAGGTTACAGTACAGTCTAAGTTCAGACATTTTAGTCTTCAAGGCTTCTGTGTTTTCAGTGAACTCTAAAAGTGAAACAAAAGAAGAATTAAACTTATTGTATCCATCTTGCAGTATGCAATTTTGGAAAGTTGCTGAAATAGCATTATCCAATCTAATTCAATCAGTACTTCCTTATTTCAAAACATTTTCTATCAAAAAGATGAGCTGGATTGGTCATAAATTATAATATAGACATTTTTCTTATGTCTCAATGGAGTTGCTTGTATTTAAATTTATGCCCTTTTCCTCTGTCACTGAGAAGAGTCTGGCTCAATCTTTCTTATGCTTTCCTATCCTTTAATCATCTTAGTAGCCCTTTCCTGGACTTCATACGTTTCTTGTACTGTAGAGTACAGAACTGAGCAGACTAATCCAGATATGACTAACAGTCAACCTGAGATTTTTCAGAAGTAATTTTTTTTACATTAGAGTCCCTGAATTACAAAATGAACCAATTTGCCTGTTAACTAACATTGTTTAGTTCTGCAAATACATCAGCAGCTTTTCACCCTGTGCTACTGTATGTCAGTGTATAGATATAACGCTGTTCTGCTCCTAGACACTGCGCATCATATCCCCACTCTGTGTAGGACCTACAGTAGCATCTTCTGCTCAGTTCTGACCCAGTTTGAACTGGTGGATGCAAAGCCTGGTGAAGAAGCACATAAGGCTAAGAGGAGAAGTGATTCCTCACCTCAGGGAAAGGAAATGCCCACCCCTCTGCATTTGCTTAGAATCACTGATACATGAATTTGCTGTTTTCCCATCTTCTGCACAGTCTTTGTGCTGAGGTTACGCAAGGTTAAGGCATGAGGTCTCATATTGATTTATGAATAACACCATGCTTGTAAGCAAGAGAGGTTTTCACTGGGGTGAAAGTGTCAGTGAAAGCAAAGAAGTTAAGTGAATTAATTTTCATGGCCTGACCATGACCAGATTTCAGTTTTCAAATACTAGTATGCACATTTAAAACCAATCGCAAACCTGTATTTTAATTGCCAAGGGATTCTTGAAGAGCACAAGACAGCCCAGTTAGAACATGGAAGGAAATGGTCTGAGCTCTAAAGCCACTGGCATGAGAGGCTGGGTCATCACACTAAGACAGTTGCACAAGGTGGGGGGTCTCACCTTCACGCACAGTCTGCATCCCAGTGACCCACAGTCAGGAGCTACTCACTCCTTGTACTTACAGAACCCATCAGCACATGGTTTTCTAATGATTTATACATAGCATATTTTCAGGAAAAGCCGAAGTTTTCAAATCCCTGCATTGAGAGTTAACACCTGAGATTTCTAGTTAGTTCGCACATGGTTTGGCTTTTAGCAGCACCAAAGACCTGAAGCACAGGTTGGACACAGAGTTCAGGTATGGATTTTGTCATCTTTGTGTCTACATCTACTAGGCTAAGGATGGGGAAATAAAAAGTAAACAGTATGTGTCAGCAAAAGGGTGTTCTTGCCTTTTTCCTTCTGTGTCCTGCTGTCAGTCAGACAGGCTTTGGCAGTTCCTAGTGCAACCAGCCACTTTTGCCTTTCAACTGCATTTCTTGCCTTCAGATAGAAGTATTGCTCCCCTGGGATGATCAGGTCCATTCGTGTGTTATCTGCAGGATGAACTGGAAGCAACATAGATTTTTAGATCGGTCCCTCAACCCTTCCCAGCCCAACTGAATATCCTAACAGATTTGTTAAGTGGCAGGTCAAACCCCAAACTTCCCCTGTTGCCATTTTATGTCTTCTCTTCAGAGTTAAGGAATAGACAGGACATACACATGAACAGCTATCAGACAAAGGGCTATGAAAGGCAGTTTTGTGACCAGGATAGTATCAGCTGAGAGTCTTTATGGAAAGGACATTCTCTCTGGCAAGCCTCTCTTTCAGCTTTCCAGCCCATAACTGAACCTCAAAGATGCAGCAAGTAATCCAATATGAGTGAGCAGACCTAGTACTGAAGCTTATTATTTATATTTCTTGCTTCAGCTTTGTGCTTATGAAGAGTCATTTAAAGCTGTGTGACATTCCACCACGGCCCATGAAAAGCAGTGATCCACCTGCCTATAGAATATCCATTACATTAGAGCCTTGCAGCCCTCTTAACATTTTCAAAATAATATAGAATAAAAACTGTCATACAGATCAAGTTACTGCGTTACTACAAATACACACCAAAGAAATCAAGCTGCCAAACAGCTCTTGTGACCTGAAATCTCATCTCAAATGCAACATTATTGGACAAACTTAATGCATCTGAACGTTACTGTATCTTAGTTACCTTGAATTTCACACACAGCCATTTGGATGCTTCCCTTACAACCCTTCCAGGCATCTTCCTGAGAGTCATAATAGGACAGGATGCCACCACAGAGAAGAAACCATCGAGGCTGCCAGCCTGAAAAACAAAACTGCATTTCTCAGTTACTTGTCTCCCTGCAATTCCACCACCTCTCTCATTCAGGACTTACTGCAACTAAGGCCTCAAAGATTCTCAGCTCCCCCAGGAAAATTAAACTCTTTGAAGCAGTAACATTTGTGGATAGGCCTGGGAAAACCCCTGCTTGTTGGCAGCTACGCGTCCTTTCTGCAGGCAGCTGGACCTCAGCGGTGTGTTCCTGAGACGTCATATGTCATTTTCAGTAGTCTTGCTAACATGGCATCACTGACTCTCTCTTCCCAAACCACTTTTTCAGTCCACCACCTCTCAATTCCTTCCATCACTCCTCAACCCACCTCTTCACTCTTTCCAAAAGCCATACCAGCTGTTGTGCTTTACATGTCTTCCTCCCTTGTGGGAAGGGATAACCAAATTGTCTTGAAAAGCAATGGGCAAGAAACTTCTGAAAATTAAGAGAAGGAGGGGACAGAGGCGGATGTGTTGATTTCTGAACACCATCGTTCAACAAAGAAATTCTCAATAGCTCTTGAAACTCCCATGCTGCCCACATAGAAAGTAATCTTGAATTAATGACTTGTACTTCTGGATACCTTCCCAGAGAATAATCAAAGCACCAGGCTAGACCAAACCCAATAGTTCTGGGTACCACTTCTGCCCACCCTGCTGCCCAACCTCAGAAATAAATTACCTCTTTTGTTTTCTTCTTTTGGAAGTACTGCAGCAGTATGAAAAAAATATATACAAACAAGACATGACAGCCATCTTACGTCTAATTAAAAACTACAAGCCTATTAACTTAAGAAGAAATGAGGCAGCAACGTCACTGGAGAAAAGCAGCTTTGGTTACTGAGCTGCAACAAGCTTCTCCAGCCAGGATCAATGGAGCGAGATACCAAAGCTCTCACACTGTGCCAGCAAACCGTCTCTTGGAAAAACACTTTGACAAGACCATGAGGGCCACGTGGCTCCTACGTGTTTCTGAAGAGGTGCCTAAATTCTGCTGTCTCCCACACCAGGGCCCTGCTGACCAGCACGGTGCTGCAGGACCCCAGGCTGGGCTTGGACTGACACCCCTTTGGAGGAATGACTGCTCCTTACCAGCTAGGAACTGACTGCTTAGGCTACTGCTAAAGCCAAGCCCAACTCAGTTTAAGATTAGAAAGGCCAACAGGAGGAGTACAGTTTGGGGTTTTCTTTGTTTGGTTGGGTTTTTAAAACAATCAATATCATGGCATCCAGGCCAACCTGGTCTATAGACTACTGAACCTTCGGGGTGCCTGGAAAACAAATTGAACATAAATCCTTTTTCACAGTCTTCCATTATTCTAGAAGAATATAAATCCACTATAAATGCCAAAGTATTCTCAATACTTCTTTATTTTATATGAAGGGGAAAAAAAATCACAAGAACGACAATAAAAAAAACCCAAAACAGTAAGACTGATTTTTATTTGTCTTGCCACCAAAATAAAGAAACACTCCTAAAAGTCACTATTGATAAGGAGGAACTCACAAAAAAAGGAGGTGATTGTTCAGCAGAGAGAAGCAGTTAATTGCTTCAGACACTCAATGGCACAGAACCAATCCTTTAAATAATGCACAGCGTCACAGTCAATACAAGCCTCTAATTCAGACTGGAGATCCTGCTGCTGCACATGAATCATCTCAGCCATGGTCCTACAGCTTACAACTGCAGCTGATGCTCAACCAAATTGCACCCCATCCATCAAAGGCTGTGCAATCAATTAGCCAACATACAAAGCACTCTGCCTCCATCACTTTGGAGGCTGGTTAAAAACACGTTATGAGTCAATATATTTTGTTGAGTTTTTTGTTTGGTTGGGCTTCTTCGTTCTGGGTCTTTTTTTTTTTTTTTAAGGGGGAAGCAGCAATTTCTCTTCCTCTGCAGAACCTAACTCTTTTTCATTAGATGTGTATTAAAAAGACAATGATAGGCAATTGTTAACTAGGACAGCATATATTTTCAGAACAGAATTGTTACACTAATAAAAATACATTTTTGTAAAAGAAAACCAATTAATAAAAAAATAAATCACAGCAAGGTTCTGTCAGAAGATGCACTAACCACCTGGTACTCACTGACGCTGAGTCAGCAGCCAGGGAAAGGTTATCCTAAACAACCAACTAAAAATAGCATGTGGCTGACAAATCATGGGCAGTGCAACAGGGATACAATCTTCAACTACAGGAGCTTCACGTTTGCAGACAAAGAGCAGGGAAAAAAGCAAAGCAGCAAAAAGACATGTCCACGAACACAAGTCTTGGGCTTATTCAGTTTTATTCTCTCTCCATAAACTCTCCCGGGTATATTGCAATTTCTGGAACTGAGCATTCAGACTTCACCTGAGATATAAAGTTAAAGCTGAACCTTTCAAGGTCTTGCTGGTGCCAGCACTAACATAACTCTGAAAAAGAATTTACTGAGCCCGTTTATACTGGTGGTGCACAGGCAGGACAAAACATAAGTCATACTTCTACAGCTTGTGTTAGAGGCACAGAGCCATTAACAGGAAAAATTGACCTTGCTGGGAAAGAAAAGAAAAAAAAAAGACAATAAACCACAAAGCACTGTAAAAGTGAGTAGTAGCTTCAGATCTCAGCCATAGAAGACAGTGAAGAGATTCCAGACAACTTCACAGACACTGGTTAAGGTCCTAATACATACTGCACTCCTGTGTGAAACTTAAAGTCAATACCTACAGTACCTGGAAGATCTGATATTGCACTCTACAGAAAAAAGTATTTAAGCAGTCTGTGCTTACTAAGGATTCAGCATTTTTCCAGAAGTTTCCACAGCCTGAAAGATCTGCCTACTTCCCTCGTTACACTTCAGGAAGTTTGGTTGCAGCTATCACTAAGCAAACTTGACATTTCTTGATAACACAGTTGAAATTTGGACATAATTCAAAACTTAATGTTACACAACTCAGACTCCAGACAGCATTCGTTCCAAAGTGCCAAGCCTGAAGAAAAAAAACCACATTTGAAGACACGTAGATCATGTCAAACATCCACAAAGCCAAACCATCTGGGAGAATTACATACCCAAGAAGTCAAACTGATGACCTGGAAAACAAGCTGCAATTAAGAGATGCCAGTTCCAGTTGCATTTCTATAAGGCACAAACGCCAGACACCCAGATTTTTACTATCGCTTGCTTTCCACTAGAATTATGCAATGCTTTGTGATTATTAATTTCTTGAACTTCAGCGTAAGTCTTTATAAGAACTTATGCAATAGATAGTCCTTGGACTTCTTTGACCTTAATTCAGATTTTAAGTGCGGATAGGAGATAATTCTGAAATTTCCATGTTACGGCTAATCCGCCTAATAGGAGGAATTAAAGCCTTCATCACATCCCTACTGCTAATACCACGGCTAAGAGCCCAGAGCTGGCTGCAGCCCACAGCCCAGCAGCGGAGCAGGGGCAGAGCCCTGCTATTCTACGCAGGGTTGCAAAAGAGTCCCAGAGTGGTTGCTCTGATACTCAAAGACGTCTCGCAGCAAGTGCAAGCAACATCCATCTTTTCACCCCACCCTGAGCAAAGTAAGCTGTGCCATGTGTTCACTGTACCACCACCTACCGCTTTACTGCCCAGCGCCCAAGGGCAGACGAGTCACAGCTTCTGTCCAGCACCGTGTCAATGACTGACAGCTGGACAAGAGCTGCTGAAAACTCAGCTCAAACAGGACCAAGGCAGTGCTGGTGTCTTGCAAAAGGCAAGAGAAAATCCAACATATGTCCTTCCCCAGTTTCCAGCGCTGATGTAAGTCTATGAACACCATTGGGTTCACACCTTTGCTAAAGCCCAGCCGGCTCCTGGTTGTTCAGGTAGCAGCTGTTGGCCAAGACGTACCACCTTCCCTTTGTGCAACTGTCACCACAAAACACCCACCTTCCAGTTATGAGGAAAGTAATATTTTCCAGTTAGAGGATGCATTTAACAGCCAAAACACAGAATCAAGTCAAGAGATCTTATTCCCAGCTTAGAAAGAAGACTGTTGAGCTGTGATGGACAGTGCTGAGAAAAACTTGACTTTTGCGTTGAGCCACCTGCATCTCCTCACTGATACAACACAAACGTTTCACACTGACCCAGAAGGATGACTGCTGTCTTACTGCAGTAATGTCCCATGGATAAGGATTTCCCCGGGGAATTAAGGCTATGGAAATCTCCACGTCACAAATGGACAAAACAGTCATTTTCGAGACCGCAACGCGCCTGCAATCTCAACTACTGGGTGCACGCACTAAATCTCACAATCCAGCTCTTAACGGCTGATGGCGTGTACCTCTCATGAGCCTAAGTTCAGGTCATGCGGCCCTGGTTTCATCCTGTCAGTCACAGCTCTGTTTCTAGTTGGGAGCAGCATGTAACAAAAGAGTATCTTGCACAGACCAAACTTGAAACTTTTCCCCTTTTTTCCTCATACAGCGAACAGAAGTAATACAATTAAAGGGTTATCTTGATACAAGAAATTTGCACCCCAAACCACTGCCTGCTCTTTCCATACAGCCTCCTAAGGCTACCCAGTATTTTGGGAAGGGCAATCCCAGACACTGGAACATGTTTTGCAGCCTTAATTTTGTAGCGCAACAATTCGACAGGATAAAAATTCACAGTCCATATCCATGAGGGACAGCAGACAAGAGTGTATGTGACAATTCATTCATCTCCTCTGAGCTATTACCACCTCACCTAGAGAGCAGCTTCTAGAAATGCTCCTATTGCAATTTTACTCTGATGATGCACACATTAACAGCAGAAATCTATACCAAAAACCCCTAAAGGTAATGAAGTTAACAGATTTAGCACTTCGACAATGGTATCACTTTTTAAAGCACTTGTTTGAGGGACATTAAAGGTTCAAGTGAAGCAAGTAACAGCTGGAACCAGCTTTAACACATTGATCCTCACCCAAATGATTTTTCTCGTAGGAGTCCCACAAAATCTACTCCCATTTCAATCACAACTGTTAGGGCAGTGCTAGCAGCACTGAAAAAGCATCCTGCCATCACAGGGCAGCTGGGTTTGTTTGCAAATGATTTTATGCCAGTGACCAGCCAAGGCACAGAGAGCGCAACGTACCCGGTCAGGCATTTTTGAAGGGGACACAGCGAAAGGATGAAGGGCAGAGAGGGGATCGTGCTGAGTGACAGAGGCAAAAGTTCAACAATCCACAGAACTGCTCAGACACACTAATTCA